AAACAAAACTCTGCTTTTCTTTATTTTCTCACACCAGAATATGCTTACAAGGTAGGCATTTATAGGGTAACCCTATCACAATTCTACTACAACTTAAGGTAATAAAGAAACACATATCCTATCTTTTATTTTAATTAATCTATTCAAACTTGATTGATCATAAGCAATAAAATCCCATAATCATGGGAGATAATATCTCCCATAATCACGAGAGATAGTATCTTCAACACTTCTTTATGTTACGGCTGTTGATGGGCAGGTTGCCTTTGGATGATGTGTTATGTAAGATCGGGTTTCGTTTGCCTTCCAAGTGTTTTTGTTGCTCAATATCTGTTGGTGAATTTATTGAACATGTTTTTTTTTCCATGGGTCAAATTGTGATAGAGGTTTGGAATTACTTTGGAAGTAGGTGCGGATTAATTTTTCCAGCCTCCACCTTACGAGCTCGTTTGTTGCTTGGTGGTTCCTCTAGCATAAATCTAAAAAAAGGAGATTTGTTTTAACATTTTTTCGAGTTTTATATGCTGGCATATTTGAAAAGCGAGGAATAAAGCAATAATTGAAGAGATCAGACCACGTAGTGAAACTATTTGCCTAGCTGTTTTCAAGAGGTTAAAATGGTTGTTGAAATTCAGTTTAAACAAGCTATCAAAGGGCAGACCTTTGCTCTGTTCTATGATTTGATATCTCAATCGTCAAGCTTATTTGGTTGCAAATTGGTTCGTTGGAAGGCGGTTGCAATTGGAGTGTTGACACTTAATACTGATGGGTTTTCTAAGGGGAATCGAGGAGTGTGTGGTGGAGGTGGAGTGTTACATGATTCCAATGCCCACCCGTTAGTAGCATTTTCATCATTTCTCGGGAACACCTCGAGTTTACTAGCAGAAGCTTTGGCTCTGTTGCTTGGACTTCAGCTATGTTTTCAGAAGGGGTTTGAACAAGTTTGTGAGCAATCTAATTCTTTGGTCCTAATTGGTATACTTCAACAGCATTTTCATTGTCCTTGGCATACTTGTAGGGAAGTAAGACAAATATGGCAATTGGTTGCCGACTCTTCTAGATTTTCACATTGTTTCAGAGAAACTAACAAAGTTGCTGATGCATTATCTAATGTGGGCATTTCTCATCCTCATGACCATGTTAGGATTTATGATCATCTGCACACGATTCCTCAATTGGCTTGAGGGGAAATCCGACTAAATAGATTAGGAATGCCATCTGTTAGAAAGATGAAGTTTTCTTAAAATTTTTCATGTTCAACACGAGGAAATGTCTAGTCTTCCTATTTGTAAAGTTACATCATTTGAATAAATTTTGGGGTGGTGTCCGCCCCGTGTACGGGGTTAGCCAAAAAAAAAAAAAAAATTTCTTTCTACTTTTGTAAAAAATGCTACCACCTTTCTAGCAAAGTTCACTATTTTATAGAGGAAATTACTATTTTTATTAGATTTTATTGATTTATTAAAATAAATTACCAAATTTTAATGGAATTTACTATAACTAGAGTTACTAGGTTTTAGAAAAATTTACCTTTTTCCCTTTTGGTACTAACAAAAAAAAAACCCAACCCTAGTGTAATGCAAATTTCATTGCCTAACGCAAAAGGCAAGAAAACTTGTACAAATATCAAATATATTAAATCAAAATATAAAGGATTATGAGCTCTGATAATTATTAATTAAAAAATTAATCCCTTGATTTGTTTCTTGAAAGGACTTTAATCAAAAGGCTGGAGAGTCTTGTTCTTTGATCAGAATGGTTTTTTCTACAATTTGGGTGCAGAAAATTGTTTATTTGATGATGTCATTTGAGTACTTGAGCCTTCAATCTTCAAGCTTCAACACGAACTGAAGAATTTTTTTAACTTGACTAGGATTTGATTTGGATTTGAAGGAAAAATCTCTTGGACTTTGATAGAGTTTTTCTAGATTTTAGAGATTTCAACCTATCTCTGGTATTGAAGGAAAACTTTATTTATAGTCAAAACACATAGACTTGATTTCCAAGAAACCCTCTAGAACCTTCCTGCAATTTGGGTGCCTTGCAACCAAGGTTTTGGTACCCAGATAGTTCAGTGAATTGAAAATCTTAATGGGTCAAGGGTCATCAAATCAACTGTTGGGCCAACAATAATCGAGCTGTTATTAACCCATGACATCATAAATATGTCATAATTAATTAATATGTTATTATTATTATTATATAAATCATTACAAACTAAAAAAAAATAACTCTGATAAAACATGATATGTTAATAATATTAAAAATAAAAAGCTTGTGAATTTATGAATGAAAATTAAAAAGTTTATACAAAAATTAAGCTACAATATATATAGTAGAATTGTAACAATGATTTTTAGATAGAAATAAGAGATTTTGAAGTTTTAAACAATTAAGAGCTAAACTGTAATTTTTAAAAGGTGAAATGCCACAAAAATAGATATTGCAAAAATTTAGAGTAGCTTCGTAATCCAAAATAAAATATTAGGATCAAATGAAAAATATTAAAAGAGTAGCCAGAAGTTGCACGGTGTGTATTAGGAGTGGGGCTGCGTTTCTTTAATTAAAATCAAGATCCAAATGGTTTAGTAAAAACCATTCCAATTTGCTAGTTCACTAGTTGAACCAGATGGCTCAATCGGTTCTTTCAAGTAAAAGTGGTTCAACTAGTTTCAGCCTCAACTCAACCCAGAAAACTACCCAATTGACGATTCAACCATTTCGACTGGACAATCTGAGTTGGGTTTCGAAACATTGCTTACAACTCTCAAATTCCATTTAATTTGGCCCTTAGTAATAGATCAATCCAAGTAGTCTATCATGATTTAATAAATCCATTAATTCATTTTAATTTAAATGGACCTTGCATTTTCAGCTTGAAGCCTATGTGACATTGGCCCAACTTATCAATTTAAAGGATAATGGACTTTTTTCCCTCTCATCACTCCTCACACTCTTCCAACTCCAACGGTTGGATACAGGGCTCAAACCCTGAATATGACAATGAAAAAGACTAAGAACCTTTCCCTCGTCATTGAACCAACTCCAGTGATATGAGGATAATGGACTTGACACAACGAAAATTTTAATTTAAGATAATTTAATCTAGACAAATTTATATTCTACCTTGACTAGATAGATAAATTAAATAAAAATTGCGTTGTATACAAATGCCCCTACTTCAAGACTTGTAAAAATTTGGTGAGATATTAGGTGACAATTACCAGGCACAAGGCTTGAAAGTATGGATTTCCATTTTATCACGTCTTGAATATAAAATCCATTGGCAGCGTCATAGCCCGAATAGCAGCCCCCGTGGTTTTATATATCCCAAAGGCCTCGACAAATGATTTATCATGGAGGTTGGAAACCGAAGTTTCTTGACAACTCCCCAAATAAGCATGTATTACTCCACTTTCTAAAACTCAGTTTTTATACTAATTCGCAAAGTGTTGAAATAAGAAGTGCCAAAGTCAATCCATTGCCCAAACCAGCTCCTCGGCAATATGGAATTTTAATTCTGAATTTCAACAGCTTCCCAAGCCGAATACAACATACTGCCAAAACCAGTGCTTACAACTTTCTGGTCTCCTTGCTTCTAGCCCGTATAAGCTCTAAATAAAGAGACAAAAACCTGCTCGAAGGCATTCCAATCGCGCAGGAATTCTGCAGCTTCCTTGAAGAATTACAATCTGCAAGCTTCGCATCAGGTAATTTGCAATCTCATCTGGAAACTTTCTTGCTAAGAAATTCAATTTTCTCACATTTATTGCTGCTGAAAATTCAGGTTTCTAGCACTTGTTACTGCTGAAAATTTAATCTTCTTATGCTTGTTACTTTGTAAGAGTTGGGCTCGGTCTAAATTTCCCTTATGTTGAAATTTGCATGGTTTTGCCCCGCCCCTAGTTGCTTGTCAAATTGCCTCATTGAACTACTTTTGCAGCACTATAACCGCTTAAACTCGTGCCTGTTTTTTGTTTACTTTGACAATTACAAAGCTTATCTTGCTGTCCGACTGCATTAATCTCACCAAATTAAATTGCTTGGTCACATTACCTTACGATAATTACATTGAATCCCGCATGACCCGCTTATGTTGCACTTGGATTTGATATGGTATAAACTGCAAGGGGGACTTCTACCTCCCACATGAAAAGAATTTGGTGTGATGCACATTACTTCATCGAAAACTCTCTTCAGTATCATGTCCATAGGGATTAAGTGCCTTTATCAAATTTGTCTTGATTCTGCTCTGCATTAATCTCTAGATTTATTTTGCAACCATATGTTGCAGCAATCTAAATTTGTTAATGCCCACTTGCAGATTGAACAAAAGTCAAAAGAGGTTCGAATCAAGCAATCACAACACTAGCGGCCCTCTTCCTTCAAATAATTGCAACAAGTCCCAAGAGTTTGGTGGGTAAGCCATACTTCCCTTCTCTTTGTCACACATACTTTCTTTTCTTTTTCCAACTTGCATGCTCAAAAGAAAGGTTGTAGACACCAAAATTTTAGTGTAATTTTATTTATTTTTTATTTGTTTTAGTTTTTATTTGTCGTGTTAGTTTTATTCACTTTTTTAGTTTTCAGTTTTTTAGTTTTATTATTATTTTTAAGTTTTAGCATAGAATTTCTCAAAAAGAAAAAAAAGGGGAAAAAATATTCAAAAAATATGTTTTAGTTGTTTTAAATTCAATATTTTCTTGGAAGAAAAAAAGAAGAAGAAAAACGATGAAATGAAAAATGAAGAAAAGAAAAGAAAAATGAATGAAGTGACAAGTGGAGAAGCATGCATGGGACAAGTGTCCCTTCTTATTCTTTAACAACACATCACTTAAGGGGTGAAGGGTTAGAGACACTTGTAGAGGTTTGAGAATTTTTGGAAAAAAAAAAAAGAAAAAGATTGGGGATGGCCGGCTAGGGGGGCTGAAAAAAAAAGGAAACAAAAAAAAAAGAAAAAGAAAAAAGGAGATTAGGGACGAAAAGAAACAAAACACAGAGGAAGAAAAGGGCCGCAAGAAAAGAAAAGAGAGGAGACCGAGAGAGAGAGCTCTCGGCTAGGGAAAAGAAGGACAAACAGAGAAAAGAAATGGGCGACAGACAGAGAGCTTCGCCAAAACTAAGAAAAGGGGAGGGATTGAAGAGGGTTTCGTCTAAAAAAAAAAGAGAGAACGAAACAGAGCAGGAGGAAGGAAACTAGGACAGAGGGCTTCGGCAAGCTTGGTGAAAAAAAGAAAAGCAGAAGCAAGAAGGGAAAGGCTGCGACCAGGTCTGCCGTTGCCGCCACCGGAACCCACCATCATCGCCCGTGGATCTTCATCGTCAAGAGCTCTGTAAGTTTTCTATTTAAATTTCAGTTCTTCTCAAGAGTGTGAAATGGGTCTGCCGTGGCTTCATCTAGCGTGATTCTCCTGTTAATTGGCTTCATTTTTGAATACACATGCTGCATATGTTGATTGAGTTGAATGTCTTGGTTTCTGATAAATTTTGGGGCTGATTGACTTCAATTTGAAAAAAAAATCTGATGAAACTTTTAATGCCCCCAATCTGTTCGATGTAATGTCTAGCCGAAAATTCTTTGTTGAAAGATGGTTTTGTTGCATTTGTACGTTTGAAAGAAATCGGACAAGTCAGTGAGTTAGGTTTGTTGCAGCAGTTCTTTTGTTTTCCCTTTTGGTTGGCTGACGTATTGTTTCGAATGTCAATAAGGTTGTCTTGTGTCACTTCTGTCATTTATGATCTGCTCCAGAAGCCTAATTCATCAGTTTTGGTACTTAAAGCAATGTTTGTTTCTGATATCTTTTTTTTTTAGAGGAGTAAATTGTTTCGGCCATGGATTTTTTTTTTTGGTGGGGAAAAGCAGCTACTGGAACTCTGGTTTTGTATTATGATTTTGTTTGTTTGGTCCTGAGTGACTCGGTTTGAGTCTTGGGGCATTAGTTGGTGTATCTACATGCTCCATTGGGGTTTATAAATTCTGTCCCATGCATGCTGAAATGGTAGAGAAGAAGCTGCCGCATGATTCGTTAGTCATCGTGGGTTGCTGAAATTCATAGTTGCTCCAAATACTTGATTCTCTTGCTGTGCAATTAGGATAGCTGGTATAAAATTACTATAAGCTATGAAGATCTGACTTGCAAAGTGGCCTAAGACAGATTTCGCAGGTCTTTCACCATGTTGCAAAAATCTGAACTTTCAAAGTGCTATTGGCTTCATTTCGAGTTTATTGATTTATAAACATAGCTTGCTTTTCTGGTTCCCTTATGAAGAGTTCAACGTTTGGTCAAGGAGTGGAATGTTTTCTGTTGCATGATTTGGTTGGTCGTTGCAAGCAGATGATGAAGTTTCTTTTTGCTGCATTTTCATGTTTTGTCCTTGTTTTTTCTTGGCTCGGGTTTTATCCGGGGGGATCATCAAAGTTGGAAAATCATGTTTGGTTTTGTTAAAAGCAATGAATGGTGGATAGGTAATGAGTGCTGGTATGAATTTTGTGTGGGTTGAAGTTGCAATTTTGGTAGCAGAAACGATTGAGGGAAGTTTCATGAGCTGCAAAATTTTGCTGCAGAAAGCTTTCTCGTAGAATTTGCAGGAAGTTTGCATGATGATTTCTAAAAATTGCACTTTGGCCCCCCAAGTCTCCCTTTGTTGCACTAAGGCCCAAAACCTTCTGCAAATAAATCATTTTTACCTCTTTCAAACTTAAATTTTTGTATGTTTTACGTGTGTTTTTTTTAGTTCATTAATTCTGAATTTTGGAATAAAATTAGGCTTTAACAGATTTGGTTCACCCATTAGTTTGTTGGGTTTTGGTAAAATGGAAGGGGAATTGGATTTAGCTATTTATTTGAGTTACTTGGATTTGGGTTAGGTTTTTTTTTTTATTTGGGTTTGTCCTGGGCTGAGGGGTTGAAGCCCATCAGTTTGTTGGATTATTCTTTGAGTCAATATAATAAAATGGCCCATTCCCTTTCGTTTTGGATTTCTAGTGGGCTGGAAAGCTTTGGCCCAAACAAATAAAGGAAATGGCCCAATGGCTTGGTCCATTAAGAAATCAGAAAACGATTTTGCAAATCATTCCTCAGACTTTTCCTTAATTATGCTACGGCCCTAAAAATGTTAGGCTTCTTTCAATTGGGTCCTGATTTAATTGCAAATAGGTCCCTAAACTTTATTTTTCTTTAATTTTGACCTCAAAACTTTATTAATTTTTGCAATCAAGTCCTTTCTTCTTTTGACTTCTTAAATGTGGATTGTTTATATGATTTAATTGATTCAATTTCATAATTCATTTTTATCTTTTGTGATTATTTCTTGATTAAAGTGGTGTCTTGACCCTTTCTTTGTATTTTGGAGGATAAATAAGTGATTTCACTCCATTAGGGCTTCGACTTAAGGGAGGTATACCTTATCCCTTATTTCTTACTTTATTTAACTCTACGTGCCCTATGTGACTTTACATGTTTGATTGTATGCCTCTTGAATGTTTGTTTCATTCATTTCATTTATTTATTTATTTGCTTTATTGGCTTTGTGCATTTATTTTAGTTCAATTTTGATCATTTGAAAGGCACTTGAATGTCAAAGTTGTAATAGTTAGGTATTTATTTTAATTATTTAATTCATCTCCCTTTAGATTGTAGTAGGGCTCCCCAAATGTAATAGTTAAGGCTTTATTTGCTTTATTGAGTGTTGTGTGATTTGTCTGCTTACGTGTTATGTGTTATCGCTTTCTTAGGACCTTGCATCTAGATATTATGCTCATGTGCTATGTGCTATACGTGATTTAGGTGTTTACTTACTTTATTATATGTTTATTTGGTTATAACAAATGCATGTCGTCACCACACTAGTCCAACGCTAGTTGTGGCCCCTTTTCCCGAATACACACTAGTCCAACGCTAGTTGTTGACCTTTGTTCCGACTTTTCTCACTAGTCCAATGCTAGTGGGAATTCATAGATATGTGACTAGTCCAATGCTAGACCCTTAGGGACCTTCTACGCTAGATCATGCATGTATGACTACATCACATTCTCATGCATATTTTTACTTTCTAGGGCCTTTTATCACTTTGTATGATATTTCCCTTATACACATATCCTTTTATCCCTAATTTCCCTATATATCTACCCCTGTGTATGATATGTGACATTAGACTTGCATTTCATTTTAGAAATAGGATTAGGGTAGTGCATTTGTTTGACTAGATTAGGGAAAACCCCTTGGATATGGGATTTGGACGAGTTTGGCTTTTCCTAGCCTTAACACGCTCATATTCCCTCTATTAAAGGGAACATTGAAAGTCACGAGTATAAATTTTTCACACCCATTATGATGCATTCCCTTAGGTCATACACATCTGTATATTATTGATTTTTACTTTTTCTTTTCTTTTGAGTCTCATGACTTGCATTATTCGTGATTTTTTTCGAAGAATCTTTAATGGGCGTCACGATTAATGTGATTGGTACTAAGTAAGTTTTGAAAATACATCTCGACCCCCTGACACCCTCCTAGGTCTAGGTTTTGCATTCATATAGTACATCCAAATGTGATAAATTTTTAGGTTAAAATAAGAAAATCTTTGACTAAATCGCGAAACTAGCCTTGGCTAGGTTGAAAGTGTGACGACCCCACTTCCCCCTGAGGCGAACCAAAGGGTTGGCGGGCCGTCTGCCCAACTCTCGCCAGGACTCACGCAAGCAATCTAACCCAAAACCTTTCGAAGAATAAACTAATCTATTACAAAACAATCTTCCTCGAATAGAATCATACCTAAAGCCACATTAACTTCAGAGATAGCTATGATAAAAAAAAAAAAAACCAGTCGAGATCTTAAACGACCTACGTGCCAAAACCGAAGTATAAGTCGTACCCATCACAATAGATAAATACAGAAATCCGTAATACAACTTACAAGCCAAGTAATCGACTTAGGGTTTATACATTTTTCATCTTCAAGTGGCAATTCAAAAAAGAAAATACATTATCCCTATAACACGTTACAGCCCACAGAATAAGTTATAGTATTCAAATACAGTCCAAAAGAAAAACATAAATTAAGCATCCAGCTTTCAGTTTCCAGAACCTGTTAAGGAAAACAATAAACGTGGGGTGAGCTAAAGCTCAGTGGTGCCCCAAAACATGCAATCACATAATTTCAAACAGCGATTAATAACTGCACAAATTTAAACAGTTAGGAAAGCGTATAACAGCACAAGGTAGGATACGTGAGCTCTCAGGAGCCATTTCCCTCGCTTGATCACCAATTATCGTAGTTAACCCTCCGTCAACTCTCACTACTTATGGTCCATGTAAGTCCACTTATTTTTATCCTAACCCGTCACCGTTCATACCTCTGCTTCGGGCCCGTACTTCGTCTACCGACGCAGTATACTCGAGATATACCCGTATAAATTTAGTCGAGGGATTTACCCAAAGACGTGATTGCAATCGATACATGCGTCGAGGAATTCACCCAATGACGTGATTGCAATCAGATACATGCGTCGAGGGATTCACCCAAATGACTTTTGTAGTTAGATTCATGCGTCGAGGGATTCACCCAACGACGTAACTACATTTTGATTCTTGGTAGTTAGATTCATGCGTCGAGGGATTCACCCAACGACGTAACTACATTTTGAATCAAGGATTTAGGAGAAAATATTTTGCACAAGTCACCACTCGAACGGCTAGTGTGATAAAGTACACACAGTTCACTTCGATGGATCAGCAACCAATCTTTTTCAACTTATCACATAACAAGTCAAGGAATCACTTTAAACGATTAGGCATAGAACAAGCAGGGACACTCACCAAGAGTGGAGTTCAGATATCGAGTTTCTACTCAAAACTATAAGTTTTTAAGCTTATAGACATTGAGGTATATTTAATAAACTACTGGTTCACTTTCCTTTAGAAAAATCAAGAGTTCCTTAGATTAACACTTGATAAAAGTAGATGAGATATTTCTTATAGTTTTCCTTGATGTACTTTTTCTAAAATAAATTAACTAGTATTATTTTACTGAAATAAGTCGATAAACCTCTCAATATCAATGTTAAAAAGTTACTTTGAACATTTCTTTAAAGTTACGGCTTTTGCAAAAATTATCCTTAAAAACTATTTTTCCTACAATAGGGTTTCTTACCGAGCAAGTTTTCCCAAGCTTTTCACTAAAATTGGTAAAGCTCGTATTTTGAAACTTTTCCTATAGTTAACTATCCAAGTGCAAAGCTTAAGGAAAGAAAAGGAATTAAAATAAGACTTAGAGTTTTCAAAAGCTATAGAACTTATATACTATAGCTATCAAGGCTAGTTTGAGCTAGAGGAAATTATCGAGTTGGAAAGTTTTAGGCAAAATACTAGATATGGAGTTTTATAATATAATACTAGTTGGAAAAATATTTTTGATTAACTTGATCATAGCTACTCGAGTTCGCAAGGTCGATACAACTTCCACAGCTCTAATTTCGTTTCGAAATTATAATATGGATTAAAATATAGCAAAAATCACATAGCAAATTACTAGGGTTTCGTCAATCATTAGCCCTAGATTTCAACAAGTACATTTCTGAATAAAATAAAATGATCAACCAAGGCTTCATCAATCATTAGCACTTGGTTTCAGCAAGCCCATTATAAGCAGATAAAAATAAAAGTAAAACTTCCAAGACATTCCAGCAATTAACTTTCATCACCCTGTAGTACTTATAAAATCATTCAAATGGCCAAGGGCTTCATCAATCATTAGCCCTTGACAACAGCAATTACTTCCAACCACAATTTAATCAAGAATTTAAACCACAAGTAGGCTAAAATCTCAATCCAAAGCCCAATTTCTGTTTCACAAAGAAACAGGACATTCATGCAAAACAGTCCACTTTAAAAATTCACAGACAGTAGTACGCATAGAGGAAAAATACGAAATTTCTACAGGACAAAGGCCTATGATTCTAGTTTCAAACGCCACTGACGGCGCCTTAAACGGATTTTCCTACACCAAGATATCAACATTTTATTGAGACTGGTCATGGAATATCCGAAAATCTGGAATTTCCATTTTTCACTTGTGAAAATTCCTTTTTCTCTTTTAACACCAAAATGTTTTTATTCAAACCATCTTTATACTTCTTATAGAACTTCAAAACAACATTTTCCAGGAATTGCCATCCATTATATGTCCAAGAAAATTTCCAAAATCCAAGTTGATATTTCAACTCAACTTTCGGCAGCCACAAGAAAGTTTCCAGCATTTGTATACCCACATGTTTGGTTAAATCATTCAAGATATCAAATATTTCCTTGCTAAACAAATTATACAATTTAAAACTTACAACCCTATTGTACTTCCAAACCATCATACTTCCAGGAAAATAAAATAAATTACCAAAAACCAATTAAACTCCAAAAACAAACTGAAATTGCTGGTTCAACCTGGCTAGTGGCCTCCAACATTTTCCAACCACCAATACGCTTTATATCAAATTTTTCCTTGGTTTAAACATGGTGCTAGGTACTCAATTTCAGCATATAAACACCTAGTTAGTTGCTAAAAAAATTCCACTTCAAAACCAGGTTCATATAACAAATAAAAAAAATCAGAAATCTCATCCAACTAGTCACGGTTGCATCAATGCATGAAGGGCTTTCTGTTTTCATTTCATTTTCGGGTTTTAAACATGCCTTTAACTCTCAATTTCCGTTTACACCTATCTGGCTAGCAAATAAACGTGTCCAGTTCTGAAATCAAGCTCAAACAACAACCGTTAACATCAAAAATTTCCAAAATTTTCCTTGCTTGGCTCGGTTGATCATGGCCTGAGGCAGATTGCACTCTTAATTTTTTTTCCTGCTTTAACCAACTAATTGACCCCATGCAGAGCCTAATTTCTTGTTATTAGCTATCTAATTATGATTATAAGCTTAAACCACAAAATTCACATCAAATAAACCAGATCAAAGAGGAAATATCATATCAAATTCTCGGCAGAACTTTTACTTCCAAAGCAGAATTTTTCTAAGACCTTGATTTCCATAACCGGCTGCTTAAAATTACATGCAACCTCTGATAAGACTTCCTCTGATAATACTTAACTTAATTACCCCAGAAATTTACCTTAGATACACTCTAAACTTACGCACAGAAATCTGGAATTTTCTTCCTTCCTCTCGGCTCTCACGTACCCTGTTTGGTCCTGCGTTCAATTTGTAGCTAGAAATGGTGTTGTGATATAGGTGGTTGCAGCTGGTGGATGTTGGTCTGAGGTTGACAAAGGTAGTGTTGTTTCCCTGGTCTCTTCCCTCAGCCTACGGACAGAGTAGAGACAAAAGAAAAATGCAGCTCGTGGCTTTTCCTCAGTCGATACTCACGAGGAGCAGCTCTCCCTCTCTTGCTCTCGGATGCTACCTTTTCACGATGAAGATGGAGTGCAGTGGTTTCGGTGGAGTTGTGCAGAAAAGAAATGGAATTTGATGAAGGTGGTGTCCCGGTATTTAGAAAGGAAGCGGTTTGCTTGTACAGAGAAGAAAGGAAGTTGCGGTTTGTGGTTTGTGCAGAGAAGGAAATTGGTATTGTGTCTTGTGGCTGTGAAATAGAGCAAATGGTATCATGGTTTTGTGATATGAATTGGATTGGTAGTATGAAGAAATATTGTGGGCCGTGGTTTTAAGATGTGAAATAGATTGAGTGGTATTAGAAAGTATTGTGGTTTGAGACGTGAAACAAAGAGAATGATACAAGTGCCGCTATTTAGGAGAATGGTTTGCGTGTAACAGCGGCTTGCGTACAATTTTGGTAATAACTGCGTGATTTGATTTGCAGTCAGACATCTCGTTTGGTTTGCATGGAAAGGTAAGGTAAGGTATTTTAGTCTTTTCACTTCGCTCCTTAATCTCAACTTAATTTCGCAAATCCGACTTAATTCTAAAAATTATCCCCAAGCGCGATTCAAACACCTAATCATACTCTAATCTACCTAAACCATGTTTTTATCGAATAAATTATCGATTAAACTTGAATATTAAGGTTCCTAGTAATTCTTATTAACATTTAACATTAGCAACTAATTGGAATTAATCATAAGGCCTTAAATAATTTATTTTAAGATAGTAAATCTAACGATTCAATTATCATTAATTTAGTATAAAGGAATTAAGTATTCTAACATTTTATTTTAAGGCGAAAATTTAATCCAACCCTAAAGATATTAATTTAGTCAAATAAAACCAAGAAATTTCATAACTTTGAAAAAATTATATTATTTTTCACGTAAACCTATTATTACGTACTTAGTTGCGAACAAGTAAAAGTAATGCTAGAAGTTATTAAACAATAAAAGAAATGCAAATGAAATATGCCTAATTTATATATCCATTTTTCAGGGTTCTCACATCCTCCCCTCCTTACAAGAATTTTGTCCTCAAAATTCACACTTTCTAAGGAAATAAATCAGGGTACTTTTTCTGCATTTCTTCTTCTAGTTCCCAAGTTGCTTCCTCCAGTCCATGATTTCTCCATAAAACCTTCACCAGAGGAATTCTCTTATTTCTCAGTTCCTTTACTTCTCTTTCCAAAATCTTGACTGGTCCTTCTTCATACGTTAACGTTTCATCCACTTCAATTTCTTCCAGGGGCAGCACATGACTCGGGTCGGGATAATATTTCTTAAGCATGGAAACGTGAAATACATCGTGAACCTTAGCCATGCTTGCGGGTAACTTCAGCTGGTACGCTACATTCCCAACTCGCTTCAAAATTTCAAAAGGTCCGATATACCTTGGCTTTAGATTCTTACCTTTCTTAGGCACTACTCCGCCCTTCAAGGGTTTAACTCTTAGGAAAACCTTGTCTCCTATTTCAAACTCCAAATCTTTTCTCCTTGTGTCGGCGTAGCTCTTTTGTCTACTCTGAGCGGTTTGAAGCCTTTCTCTAATTAGTTTCACTTTCTCCTGGGCTTCTTCTATCCAAGGTATCGCTGTTGGATCTAAAATCTTCTTCT